TTCAATATTACTGTTAATTAAAGAAGTGCAACCCAATGATTTTTCATAAAATACTTAAGTTAAAGTTGATATTTTTCATATATAATATTTTCGAGCAAATTTTGTATTCCTTATTTTGTTACTTAACAAAATACATATTTTTGTACTAATTTTAATAATATGCATTTTCACCCTCGTCTGCTTAATGTTGGGCGTTGGATTAATGTTTGGTCAAAGTCATAGTTGATGACCAACTTGTTCAATCTGCCAGAAGTTTGTTTATGTTTGCTTGTCAAATTGATCGATTTAAAAATATTTAAAAACAAATATTATTTTTATTATATTAACAATGAAATTCATTCAAAATGTATATTTCAATATTGATTGATTTGTGGGGCCTATTCAAGAGGCAAGGGTTGTAGCTAACCATTGGACCATCACATTGCTGGAAATTGGATTAGCTAGAAAAAACTGAGGTGGAAAGCAAAGCTACAAGGCTACATTAGTATCAAGTAGCTCAACGCCTCAACATAACTTCCATATATTCAACTTTCTTAAGAGTCCTTTCTTTTTATTTGGCTATTACTAATTAGTCATTATGAATGGAGTTGAGAAATTCTATCTCGCCTTTTCAAATCTACCATGTGGAGTAATTAATAGGTTCTGTTTTTGTAATTATAAATAGTCAATAAACACCTCTTATAAATGACAAATTCAAAGAATGAAACAAAAAAAAAAGAGAGAGAAAGGATGTGACACACGAGATTTGAACTCTAAATTACCCAAAATATTACTTCATGTTTAAAAGTGTTGGGAAAACACGACCCCCGACCTCTTCCAGGATCACCAGCTCAAAAGACTCTTGTACATTTACCCACCCACTCGTAACACAAAGATTCAATCTAACAATATCACTTTGTATTATACAATTGAAATGTACAAGAGATATTTTACAAGTAAACGGGTAGCTCACATCACTCTTTGTATGAGACTACTTCACTCTCACATCCCTCTCTAGAGGAGGCCTTCACTTACTCAATAGCCCTCCTCAAGGATCTCTCTCTCATCACTTGAGGAGGCTCTCTCTAGCCTCTCACTCTAGGACCTCCTCATGGCTCTTACTCTAGAGGCTCACTCTTAGGAATGAAGAGTGTCACCCCTATTTATACTATTCTTCTCAAAGCTTCTCTAGAACATTCTGGAGCAGTGTGGAGTTCTCTAGATCCTTCTAGAAGATTAGAAAAGCTTGTGGATAGTTCTTGGAAGAATCTAGAAATGTAGTGATGTATAGAAAGTTCTAGAGAAACTTTGAGAAGAGTAATATAAATAGGGGTGACACTCTTCATTCCTAAGAGTGAACGTCTAGAGTGAGAGCTGTGAAGAGGTCCTAAAGTGAGAGGCTAGAGAGAGCCTCCTCAAGTGATGAGAGAGAGATCCTTGAGGAGGGCTATAGAGTAAGTGAAGGCCTCCTCTAGAGAAAGATGTGAGAGCGAAGTAGTCGCATACAAAGAGTGATGTGAGCTGCCCGTTTACTTGTAAAATATCTCTTGTATATTTCAATTGTATAATACAAAGTGATATTGTTAGATTGAATCTTTGTGTTACGAGTGGGTGGGTAAATGTACAAGAGTCCTTTGAGCTGGTGATCCTGGAAGAGGTCGGGGGTCGTGTTTTCCCCAACAAAAAGATTTCACCAATTTCGGAAATTTTGTGTTCTTTTTTAACTCATGAACAAAAGAATTTATGCATCCGAGGCAATATTTAACGTGCAGACTAAAAAAAGTCGGTAAGAATAAAAAAAGTTAGGCAAAGTATCAGCACAAAGAACGATGTTACTCAAATTTTGTCAAACACAAATCAGATAAATGTCATGCAACTAACCCTTTAAGAAGAGAACATTAGGTCCTAATCTCTGTTCTAAAAATCGTTCTAGGCGCCCGATTAGTCCCCGCCTAGGCGCTAGGCGGTGGCCGGACGCCCCGATTTTCGTCTAGGCGCTCTGACTAATTGGTTTGCCGCCTAGGTGAATTAGTCGCTCGCCTATAGCGCCTAGTTGCCCGCCTAGAGCGCCTAATCGGCCGCCTAGACCGTCTAGATTTGTTGAACATTACTTTACATTTTAATTTTAATTTCCAAGTGATATACGTATTTTAACTTTACCCATGGATATAAAGAAATGAAGTTGTAAATTAAGATAAAACTATACACGTTTGTATATATTCTTAAATTTTATCATTATTTATATTTATAACACAATGAAGTTAAGTGATTAGTTATCATATACTACATATGATTAAATGTGATAATTCTATCTTTCATGTTTGTTTATGTATATGTATATATGTATTTTATACACACAAAAATACAATATTACTTATCATATTTATGCAAAAATATAGATAAAAATGCAATTTCTATGTCTCCGACTAGTCCCCGACTAGGCGCCCGTCTAGCCGCCTAGCCACTAGACGCTGGGGTGGCGCCCGACTAGCGCCTAGCGCCTTTTAGAACATTGGTCCTAATAAAGCTTTTTTCACGAATATAATGATCCCTAAATAAATCTACCCGGCCGTGATGTGTAACTGAATGAACAATTGAATTAGAATGGTAAAAATAATTACCATTAATTGAATTAGAATCCAGTGATTCCAGAGCTAAAAACAAAATTACCATTAATTGAATTAGAATTCAGTGATTCCAGAGCTAAAAACAATGAGAACTGATCCACGAATTGTTTGTGACCGAACCAAACCGAACCGTACCAAATTATACTAAATAGAACCAAAACCGGACCATATGCAATTTGATTTGAGTTTGATAGTATATTAAAACCGATGTAAACCAAACAAAACTGAAACCGATGTAACCGAACAAAACTGAATTGAACTAAATAAATTCAATAAAACCTTCACGTATATATTATTAAAAATTAACAACTTCAAACCAAACTAAACCGAACCAAACCATACCAACACCGAACAGACCGAAACCGATAAGAACCAACCGAAAATCGATATGCCCACTCCTAATCTAATTTATCAAACATTGTTTCACAACCCGTCAACTTAGTCCGTCAGCCAAATCCTCCAATTAAATTTGATATCAATTATCCGCTAACACAATTCCCTAAGCACTAACGGCTAAATTCCGATTGTCGGTTAGGTCCAAAAAGTTAATCATTCTTAAGTATTTCATATGTGAGATTAATCATACATGTAGAATAACATTGATATTGTTATTTTTGTACCTATTTTTTTCTTATACTATTTTAATTAATATTCTTACACATATTAATTATAAGAGTTCGTTTAATGTTTCACTAATGACTATTTCATTGAAGGGAAAATAATTTATGTGATTTCCAACCATAGTATCTATCTGTATATTTATATATATAGAACTTATATATAAAGATACGGAGTACTACGTATATGGTCGGAATAATAAAATATGGAGTAACAAAGTCGTTATATATAATATATAATAGCGCTTCATGTAACAAGTTATTTGTCCAGTTCAGCTGTAGCATTGGCAATTTGAGCATTCGAATCCGGGTTCAACTCCCGGCAGCTGAGTACATTTTTTTGCTTTAATTTTTTTGCCCCAAGCTTATAGCCTTATATAGCTATATTTTCTCTTATTTATTCTCTTATTTTAAGAATAATAACACTCCGTGATATTTATGAGTTGTTGGATTCTTTTAGAGCAAGTGAACTACGAAAACAATATATAAAAACATAATTATATACGGAGTATAAATGTATGTGTCACTGCTATATACATACTCGTCATTAACTATGTATGATACGTAGTATGTTTTTATCATTACAGTTACAGAATGTTGTACTCACTACTCCGTAGCTTTCATGGCCAAATTGAAACAACCAATTGTTTGTTTGGATAGTAAACAACTTATTCATGATTGTTAATTACAAAGTAGGCAAATTTCAAAATGCCTCCAATTTTTTAATATCATACTACATTTAAAAGGTTGATATTATTAAGGTAATCATAAAAAATAAACATGTTCAATCTCGATACATACATAACTTCACCAATAACTTGTATCATATATACATTATTCTTCTCCATTTTAAAAACTTCTACATCAGAAAGTCATTACACTATCACGAGTTTAGGTTATACCTATATAAGCTTTTTACTTTAATAAATTTTAAATGAAAATAGTAAAAATTTAAGGGACAATAAAGAAGAATTTTTCTACCATCCCTTTTTAAAAAAAAGGGATGGTAGAAAATTTGAACATATTTCAACCTTGATCGAACATGTCACACCTTGTAGACCTTCAAACTTGATCGACCTCAAACTTATTTAGTTATTTGAACTTCAAACATGGTCGGGCATGTCAAACCAGACTGAACCCGGCTCATTCAACCTCATTCAAACTCGGCTAAATCCGTTTCAAATTAAAGTAGCATTTGAATTCACTTCCAAATAAATTAATTTGTTCCATTTTAACTTAAACGACACCACTTTGTTCATGGATTTTACGTAATTTCAATCATTTGAAAAAGGGGATAGTTTCATGACAAGTATTCTTCTCTAGGCTATTTTGATAAAAATTTAAGATAATTTACTATTTACATCAACTCTTTGACATATTTTTATAAATAAAATGCTTTATTTTTGTAATACCATGTTTAGTGGTTTTTTTTGAAAGGACCATGTTTAGTGGTTTGGGAATGAGACTTTAAATGTACCTAACGTGAACATATCAATAGATTCAATAATAGTCAATACTACGTATTATACACACTTCTAAGATTTTTTTGATGACCAATGACATTTTGTGATCTTTTTTTATCATTTTAAAAACACATTTTATTTGAATGTTGCAAAAGAAAAAGGTGTGACAAGTACTTGATCTTTTTTCTTTGGAGAGGTATAAACGATTAAAGAATGAAGCACTTGGAGGAGAGAGGGCGGTCAATTCCCTCTGTTCATTCAGTCTATAAATAAATGATGCATATAATATAAATATATAAGATCCAACCACCCAAAAAGCTATTAGAACCTAATTAATATTACGTTATTCAGTCTTAAAGAAAGAAATACAGTAACAGCATACTTAGAAAGCTACGTAGTATTTGTTAACGAATTAAACGACAAGGTTAAAACTAGCACAATTATGGCAGTCTTTTATAACCAACTAAGTTTTTTAAGACAATCAAAATAAATAAGAGTTCAGGTCAGTATAAAACTATGAAGTAGTTTTAAAATCTTGAACTTTAAACCAAAATGCAGCAGTAAACAAATGAACTTCATTGGAGAATGAGTATGGTCTTTTTTCCTGAGATCATTCGTGGAGAACAACTATGGCTTTTTCAGAAGATCTTGGATAACTAAGCACCGTTTGAACTATCTGGGGAACATCTGAAGGGAAATTAGTCAAATCTTTGTCATAATCGATCACCATCTTCTCCAAAGCCGTAGCTCTCTTAAGCAAGATTCGAGCCACCGTTAGCATTGGCTCGCCGGCAAGATAAGGATTTGCATAGCCTACGAAATGAACAACCTTCAAATGCAACAAATCACAAACTAAATCATCCCTCGCCACTGGTCCTTGGGCCGTGACAGATTCCTAGATGAACAAAATAAGAGAAACTTAGGCCAAACCAAACTTGAAACATCATTTCTATGTTATGCATTCATATAATATAGGGCTCTTAGATAAAGTTCGACATACCAAACAAAAGTATCATATTGCTAAATCATTCCCCATCAACAAAATGTAAAGATAAATACACACATGCAAAACCTTAAACTACTTCTAAGAAGTTGACCTGAATAGAACTCTTCAATATGATCAAGTGCACGCGAATTTCGAAATCGGTAACCTCTAACAAGCCACTATCTTGTGGACAGAACAATCATAAGGATATAAATTCACATGCAAGACCTAAGATTACCCTCCAATCATGCTATCCTTCAATATAAAACCCCAAGTTTAAGGATGTTTTTACTTGGATTGTAATTTGCTGGTTTGGTCTGGTTTCTTTGTATTTTTATAACTATCCAAGTCTGGTCTGTTCTGGTCTGAGACAAATTACGATTCAAGTAAAAACATCCTAAGTGTTAATTTATCGTAGTGTTAGAAGCAGCAAATACACTATATTTGAATGAAAGCCACAATTACAGAAAAGAATGCTATATAGATTCAAGCCAAGAATGAGAGGCACTATTAGATACCTCACAAGAGTCACAGCACTGTATGACCAATGTGTTCAGTTTCGTAGAAGATTCGAGCAGGCCTACAATGGCAGGAATGCTATTGCTATCTCTCCATGTATCTATTACCAAATTGTCTTGCCGAGATTGTGGAAGCCGCCAACCATGCACCACCATGTTTGATATAACCTAAAATTGTAACATATGTAATTATGTATACATAGTAACATGCTTAAAGCAGAGTAGAAAGATGAGGGCGACATGGTAAAAAGTTTAGAAAATAGAAAAACAACAATTTATGACTATATGAGAGAAAGGAAACTTATCACCCTAGGACAAGGACAATATGGTCTCATCTGAATAAACCAGATTTTAGCTCTATCTCTAAAGTCTTAACTCGCTTGGAGGAATATATTAATGCCAAGAGCTTTGATGAAATTTATTTCAGAAATTGACCTAAATAGGAGTAAAAACGTTTTGAAATTCCAAAATAGGAGTATCATGTTTTTATTCCCTAAATAGGAGTAAATTTCTGCCAAGTTTGGCATTACAAGGCTTTTAAACATGACATTTTCTTCCAAACTTGGCAGATTACTCCGGAATAAAAAACATGATACTCCTATTTTGGAATTTCGAAATGTTTTTACTCCTATTTAGGGAATTCTCTCTAGTAATGAAACTGCAGAGCACATGTTCTTCCTCTTCCCTTATTCTGCTAAAGTGTTGAACGAAACAAGGGCGGTCTCGACAAGAACAAAGGCACCACAGCAACCAAAATGGGGTACCCCATTCTTACCTCGGCTTAATGTGTGGCCACAAATGGGCTAACACATTTAAGTGGGGCACCATTTGTGGCCACACATTAGGCCGGCGTAAGAATGGGTACCCCATTTTGGGGGTACCTATAGCATTTCTCACAAATCTTTAGGATTAGCAAGAAGGGAGAAAGGATTGGGGATCCAAAGAAGATTATAGCATTACTTGTACAGTTTACTCTATTTAAATCACTAAAAATATGAAGCTTTGGTTATTTAATTTAAAATAATGTGCTTCATACTACCTCCGTTATTAAATAATTGCACCATGTAAATAATTGCAGTATCATTAAGCAAAACTGAATTTAGTACCCAAATCCACTGTCCCTTATTAAATAATTGCACCAGTTTAGCTTAACGACACACCTCAATGAAACCACATCCAAGTAAGAGCACTTTGACATGCTGAAGCTTTTCAAGAAGTTCCACGCTGTTATTCATCACATCCACAGAGCTACGAGACACGCTAAAATCAATATTAGCATCAACAACAGATGGTATGTTGCTCAGCTGCATCTTTGTTCTTGAAAGATGAAATCCGATATTCAATGTCCTAATATAGGGTGCTGAGATTTCTACCAACTGTTTACTCATCTTATCTTCGTGCACTGATACACCAAGTGAGGCAAGACTTCGAGAGTTGACCTCCAGAAAATTGAATCCCCAACATTCTGTCAGACGTAAACTATCCAGAACTGGACAACCAGATAATATCTTTTGAACTACATCATCTCACAACTCTACATCTTCAATCTGCAGATGAGACAAAGATTGCCACTCAATTGTTCTATGAGGAGCCACAGTGCATCTTTCCAACCACAATGATGTCAAAGACGAATTTAGTAATTTCAGGGAAGCAATGTCAGGGAAGCAATTTCAGCGTCATCCTCAAACAAACGGGTTAAAGAGATGTGGATTGATCGTCTTAGCGCATTGCCAGATTCCTTGCTTATTCATATTCTCTCCCAACTTAGTATGGATGAAGCCGCTAGTCTCTCGGTGTTGTCCAGAAGGTGGCAATTTCTCTGGACCGAATTGCCTAGCCTAGACTTTTGGGAACATCCGAAAGGAGTAGATTTTGTACCTTGGGTTCACAGGGCCCTTCTTCTTCGTCTTCTTCGTGGTGCAACTTGTTTGGAAAGATTTAGGTTAAACCGTTAAAATGATTAATTTTTTAAAAAAATCTTTAAATTTACACAACGTAATTACTCCGTAGTACTTTATGACGAAATTTCTGAGATTTTTTTTAAGACGAATGATATTTTGTAATCTTTTTTTATTAATTAAAAGAGAACGAATTATTGGAAGTTTGCAAAAGGAGATGATGCACAAAAATGTATAAGATCCTACAATTCATTGCCTTCTTTTCTTCTGTGGGCAATCATTTAGTCTGTAAATTTATGATGCACAAAAATGTATAAGATCTCATCACCCAAAAATCTACTAAAAACTTTTTAATAATTTAAGTTATCCACCATCTTAATGAAAGAAATGCAGTGACATACTAAGACAGCAATTGATAAATGGATTAAAAGACAAATTTTACACTAGTACAAGTTGTACTAAACAGATACTTTTATAGCCAAATAAGTTTTGCTATGATATTATAAATAAATAAGAGTTCAAAACAGTTAAAAACACTTGAGTAATTTGTAAACAATGAACTTAAAACCAGAATACAACAGTCAACAAATAAACTCCATTGGAAAATGAGTATGGCCTTTTTGCCTGAGATCATTCGTGGAGAACGACTATGGCTTTTTCTGAGGATCTTGAGTAACTTAATACAGTTCCAACTATCTTGGAAACATCTGAAGGGAAATTGGTCAAATCTTCTTCTTTATCGATCACCATCTTTTCCAAGGCCGTAGCTCTCTTAAGCAAAATCCTAGCCAATGTTAGCATTGGCTCACCAGCAAGATATGGATTTGCATAACCTATAAAACGCACCACCTTTAGATGCAACAGGTCACAAACTAGATCATCTTTCACCGGTGGTCCCCAAGTCGTGACAGATTCCTATATGAACAAAACAAGAGAACCTTAGGCCAAACCCAATTTAAACATCATATCTAGGTTATGCATTCATATGATATGGGGCTCTTAGATAAAGTTTGAGTGTTTGACATATACAAATAAAGCATTTGTATTGTTGTATCATTCCACACCAACCAAATATAAAGATACAAACTCATAATTGTAACAAGTTGACCCGAATAAAACATTTCATTATGATCAAATGAGTAAATCAATCTGATTAAGAGTTTAAGACTAAAAAGCACACAATAATTTTGAGATTGGTCAATTCTAACATAACACTATATTGTGGACTAAACAAACATAAGGATATTAACTGAAATATAAGAACTAAGAGTACCCTCGAATCATGTCGACCTATAGTATATAACCCCAAGTTTAAGTGCTAGTTTATTGTAGTGCTAGAAACAACATGTACTGTATATATTACGATAAAAGCCACATTTACTGAAAAGTAAAATAACAATGCCACACGTATTCAACGCAAGAATGAGAGGCCTTATTAGATACCTCATAGGAGTCACAACACTGTACGACCAATGTGTCTAGTTTGGAGGAAGATTCAAGTAGGCCTACAATGGCAGGAATGCTATCACCATCTCTCCATGTATCTATTACCAAACAATCTTGCTTAGATTCTGGAAGCCGCCAACCATGCACCACCATCTCTGATAGAACCTACAATAGTGACACGTGTACAAATAATTACACAGTTACATGTGTGCAGCAGGGTCTGTAAATCAGTAAATGGGGGTAATAATGATAAAAATGGTATAATGGGAGAAAGTTTAGAACTAAAGCAGTTAATGACTATCCTGGGAACCTTATCATGCTAGGACAAATACAATATGGTCGCATTCCAATACACCAATTTATAGCATTATCTCTAAGCTGGCTTGGAGGGATAGATTAATCTCAAGAACTTGATGAAATTTAATTTGGTTGATTACCTATTAAGAATGGGTACTACGTGAGGGGGGGAATGGAACTGCGTAGCACATGTATTCCTGTTCCCTTTTTCTGCAGAAGTGTGGAACGAACCCCAAGGGTTGGCCCAACAGGGACAAATGCATTACAGCAATGAGGAAACACATTTTTCAGATTTGCAAGCAGGTAAGAAAATTGGCAATGAAAACCAAGGAAAAATTATAGCGGCAATTATTTGTTCTGTCAACTCTATTTGGATAGCAAGAAATAGAATAATAGTTTAGAAGAAAATCCCAAATTGGGAGGCTTTGGATCATTTCATTAAAATCATGAGTTTCATAATTATTTTTCTCCACTTCCCTGAGCTCACTTGATTATGAATCAATTCCTGGCTTGGTCCCCACCAAGTGGGTGGTGTGACTCCCTCTTTTGTCTGGGTATTTCTAGTGAATAGTATTGTATATCCTTCATATTATCTTAAATCACTTAAATCTTTGTTGTCTTTGATTAATAAATTAGCTTAGGAGAAGATGAAAACTAAACAAGCACCTTCACATGCACAATTAGCATTCAGCCACTACATTGCAGACTCAAAAGTCAAAGAGAAACTGTACCATAAAACCTGTTGAAACATATATCAGGAAGCATATATAAATGAATTCAGTAACACAAGGATGCAAAAAAAACTTAGAGGATCGACACACACCTCAATGACACCATATCCAAGGACTAACACTTTGACATGCTGAAGCATTTCAAGAAGTTCCATGGTGTTATTCATCACTTCCACAGAGCTATGAGGCACAGTGTAATTAACATCAGCATCAGTAACAGATGGTATGTTGTTGAGCTGCATCTTTGTTCTTGAAGGATGAAGTGAGATATCCAACATCTTAATATAGGGTGCTGAGATTTCAACCAAATGCTTACTCATTTTATCTCCACACACTGATACACCAAGTGAAACAAGACTTCGAGAGTTGACCTCCAGAAATTTGAATCCCCAACATCTTGACAGATTTAAAGAATACAGAACTGGACAACCAGATAATATGTTTTGAATCACATCCTCACATAACTCTACACTTTTAATACGCAGATGAGACAAAGATTGCCACTCTATTGTTCTACGAGGAGCCAAAATGCATCTTTCCAAGAACAAGGATGTCAAAGACGAATTACAAAACAAAGCTTGAGGAAGCATATAGAAGTGTTCCTCAGATTGTAGCATTAAATCAAGTTCTTTCACCTTATGTTTGACAGCAAAATGAACCCAAGCATTTACATCAGAAGCAAAGCAGTTATTGTACCTGAAGAAAACCCTAAACCTTTCCAAATAAATTCCACTACGGAGAAGAAGAGTCCTGTGAACCCAAGGCACAAAATCTACTGGTTTCTGGGTCTCCCAAA